TCATAAGTCACATAACAATTTAAATCATATGTTAATTTATGAATTTAAATCATATTGCATTTAAAATCCGGAACCAATACACATATTTTAACATAATGGAACTTGACAAGTTCACATCTTCCATATTTTCAACTAAGGTTGAAATCCCTGTTGGTGTAGTTATGTAGAAAGGTTTATCTAATTTTCTGATTTTCTTCAATATTGAGGTCAAAGGAGTCATGTGGTGTGAGACACCAATATCATGTATCCAATAGAAACGATATTAAAATTTACCAGTCATGTTTTCGTGTGGGTTTGTGTGATGTTTGGCACGAACTCCATGCAAGGCATGTCCTGATGCTGATGCTTATGGATATTCTTTTCTTTCAGCAACTTGAGCAAGATTTGGTACTTGTTGCCTCCTGGTTTCTTAGGTTATCGCCTTTGAGTTCTTCATGATTCCTAACTTGCTGGATATCTAACAATCTCAAAGCATTTTGCCTTTACATGTCCAATTTTCCCATAATGATCACACTTTAATCTTGAGTGATATTCCTTTCCTCTCTTCCTATTTGCACCCGAGTAAAACACATATGCACTTTCAACCTTGGAATCTCTTTCCTTATCCATTGCAAAACAAGATCCTTATCTTTGCATTTGATTAAAGACACACCTAAGAGAGGGTAATGGATCAGTATTGAGTATGGTTGCCTTGACATGTGCGTATTGTTCATTATCAAAACCTCCAAGAAAAAGATAGACTCGATGTTCTTCTTCCCTTTGTGTCAACACTTTAGCAGCTCTACAACTACATTCAAGTAGGGTTTGTAATTCACTCAATTCATCAATAAGACTTTTAAATTGAGTATAGTAATTTGTTACGCTTGTTTCTGACTTAAAATAAGTTTCTCCATAGTTGATGGATTTATGGTGCATTGGTCTGAGCAAAGCGTTCTTCAAGATCAACCCTTACATCTTAAGTCGTTGAATCATGTGAGATGTTGCTGTGTAGATTTGGTTATGTCACATTGATTAACCAAGCCATCACCATTGAATTTGCTTTCTCCCAGTTAAGGTATACTTCAAATTGTCTTGATGGTTTCTTGATGCTTCCATCAATGAAACCCAGTTTCATCTTCACACGCAAAGGCGTCTTGATTGATCTTGACTAAGTGCAACAATTCTCTCAATTTAACAGTGTTGTCACAGGTGGAGTTCCAGGATTATCAGAGTTGTTTAAATGTTAATATTGTGTATTCTTTGTTGTGTTCTTCATTTTAGATTTAGAGGTATCTTTACTTTCCAATATCTCTTTTGAATTAAAACCAGTCTTTAATACCATAATAGAAAGTTAACTTGAAAGTACTTTATATTTTGTGCTGATCAATGATAAATAATTATACATGATGTGCTTTTATATATAGACCGATGGTTTATAACTTTAGATGCTTGAAGATAGGATAAACCCTAACCAACTAATAACAACCCTTGAAAATAGGATAAACACTAACAAACTAACAACAAACAATTTATAATATATCGAATAGATCTCATCAGACTCTAACATGCCAGACATTAGAAAAGAGGATCAAAACTATTACTACTATTGGAAAATTTAAACATGAGGTAAAACAAGAGTTGAAAGGGACAAGTAATGCAGTTGAGTCAAACACCATACCTATTAGAGTGTGGAAAAGTCTTTGAGATAAAGGTATCGAGTGGTTCACCAAACTTTTTAACAAATAATGGAAGCAACACAAATGTTGGATAAATAGAGAATAACCACTTTAATTTCGATCTATAAAAATAAAGGGAATAAACAAATTTATGCAAATTATAAATGGATTAAACTTATGAGTCATACTATGAAGTTATGAGTATAATGATTGAACTAAGACTAAAAAATGAGACTTAAGTTACTGGTAATCAATTTAATTTTATGCCTGAGAGGTTGACCTTGGAAGTGGTTTTCTACTATGATAAATGATGGAGGAATGTTAAATTGATCAACAAGAGTTGCACTTAGTTTTCGTTGACTTAGAGAAGGCGTATGATTGAGTGCCTATAAAGATTTTATGAGAATTCATGGATAAAAAAGGTTATGATTGACTATTTTTAAATTATTCATGATATGTATGAGGTGATATTGACTAGTGCGAGGATACATGGTGGAAAGACATGTGATTTTTCGATAACTTTTGGTTGCACGAAGGTTCAACCCCAAGCTTTTTATATTTTTACTTTAGATTTGGATGTACTTAGAAAATACATCCAAGAGTTAGAACCAAAATATAAGTTTATTGTAGATGATATCAATATACTTAGAGAATCGAGGAAGAATTTAAATGAGAGGTTGAAAACTTGAGGATGAGTCTTAGAAGTGTATGAATTTTGCCTAAGTAGAAGTAAGTAATATATATATATATATATATATATATATATATATATATATATATATATATATATATATATATATATATATATATATATATATATATATATATATATATATATATATATATATATATATATATATATATATATATATATATATATATATATATATATATATATATATATATATATATATATATATATATATATATATATATATATATATATATATATATATATATATATATATATATATATTGTAAGTTTAGAAAAATGAGAAGTGTTTCTAATATTAAGGTGAAAGTTGAAGGTCATCATACCACAAATTACACAATTTGAATATCTTAGAACCATATAATACAAAAAAATATAGAGCAATATAATGAGATGTAAACCATTGAAGTCAAACTGGATGATTTAAATGGAGAAGGACTTTAGTTATTTTAGGTGACATGAAAGTACCACTCAAATTGAAGGGAAATTTTTATTGAATAATTATAAGACCATCGATATTGTACGAAGCAAAATATTGGATGATAAAAAACCAACACAAAAACAAAATAAGTGTATCAGAGATAAAAATGTTGCGTTGGATGTGTAGAAATACTAGACATGATAAAATTAGAAATGATAACATTATAAAGAGTAATTGGATAACACCCATAATAGAAAAAATGGTGAAAATTAAGCTTAGGTGGTTTGAACATGAAGAGATAATATCTGTAAATTTTACTTTAAAGATAATGGACTAGATTAAGGATAGTCAAACAACTAAAGATAGAGAAAGACCTATAAAAACTATAAAAGAAACTATTAGAAAATATTTAGATAGAAACATATTTTTAATAATATAATCGATCCACTTAATAAGTTAAAAATTGGTTGTTGATTATTTGTACATGTACGCCACTATACAACTATTAAATGAATCACAAATTAAAACATCAAACAATAATTTAATTTATTTTAGCTTAAACAATAATTCGTAAATTTAAATTTCAATTTACTTTATATATATTAATTATCTCATTTTAAATTTATTTTTAACCAATTTATTTTTCTTTTCAACATAATCTTTGAATTTAACTATTTAAAAATATTATTTACACAGAACTGAATGATAAACAGATAATAAATCACACCACTAATTTCTTATGGATGACAAAATCAATCATATTAAAAATAATATTTATAGATATAGAAAGCACAACTTTGTGATTCATGAACTTTTAAACTCTTTTTAAAAGATTCCCAACCTCTAAAAGTAAAAACTATCAAACATAAATAGTATAAAAATATGTTGGTTGTCCGAATAGACTTGCTCATGTTTGACTACTTTGCTTCAAACGACTTGAAGACTTTCAGCTCTATGATAAAATCTTATGTCTTCAATTATGCAATTTGAAAAACCACAATCAAACCTACACATACATGTTTTTTCTCATACCACTCGTACACTAAAATATTCATTAACTTAAAAATCAATCCTCTTTTAGATTGATTAAGAAATTCACATCCATATATTTCTTTAAAGATACTCTAGCCCACTTAAATATATAAAAACAACATCTCTAACAAAAACATCTAATATTTAAAGCATAAAAAATAAGATAAAATAAGATAAGTCATATTAACAAAAACAAAAAATCATAAGACAATACCTAAACAAATACTAAACCGTCAATAAAAATTGTTAGAATAAAATTTTAAACATACATGACTTACAAACATTCAAAAATTATTTTCTCTTTTGTGACAATGTTAAATTTAATTTTTATATCTATACACGAAGTCAAAACATGTTAAACTCTATCTAAAAAGATAGACAATATCTTACTAATAAAACTGGCAAAATCAAAAGTTTTTACCACTAAAATCATCAAATCTCCTTTAAAAATCAATTTTAAAAATTTAATTTAAGTATAGATTTAAATTTAAAATAATCAATTTATATATTTCCAATGCTAGATCTTGTCCCATCCCATGAAGTAAATATACACTAGTATCAATAAAAAATAAAATCAAATGAAGATAGTAATTTAAATTGAAATTGAAAAAAAGTAGAGATGGTGATTATTATTAATATTGACAATATTTTTTTACTATTACTTTCTCTCACCCAAGTCCTTGGTGGGCACAATTTATAAGAGAAACGGTTCTTTCCCCAAACCCCCTCTACAAATCATCAGCAGAGTCACCATTGCCGAGGAAGTCTCCACCTCCGACAAACCTTTTCTCTATCTACTCACTGCTGCAACACACTGTCTATTCTGCTCTGTGTAAGTCTTCCTATCGGTTTTGCTTTCAACATTCATCAACCAATTTCACTCACTACATGTGCTTCACTGATTGATTGCAACAACAATGTTTGCTTAAGATTATTGGAATTTTTGTTTGTGTTTGGGAGTATTTATGCTGTGATTTGCGTTGAGATAGTTGGATTAGGTTAAGTTTGTTGATTATGTATCTATTGAGGTTATGTTGGAATTAGGATTCTGGTTGAAGCATGGTTTTTAACTTTATTATGATTGGGAAGTGGGAAGTTGTGGTTTGCATTGGGTGTTTTTTCATTGGGATGTCCAAGTAGGGTTGAGGTTTTGTTGGAAAGCTAGGGTTGTGGTGAAAATATGGATGGTGAATATATGGTTTCTGGGAGTAATAATAAGAGGACTAAAGAGATGGAGGATGGTATCGATTCGGATGATAATGAGCTGATATTTAAAATCAGGAAGCTACGCGGTGTGAAAAAGAAGGTTTTCTCGGGGCCCGAGGAGGAGATATGTGGCATTGGAGGAGGCGAGAATGCTGAATCTGTTGGGGAATTTGTTGATGTAGAACGGAAGGATTTGGGAGGTATGGAGGATACCCTAGCATGTTTTAGGAAGAGATTGAAGGGTCCTAAGAGAGATCGGGGTTCTAGAGATGCGGGAGGGAATGCGTCTACTCTGAATGTGGTGGCAGAGTCTTCTGATGGGTGTTTCGATGTTTCTTGCCAGTATGCAGATTTGGATGAAAGATCTTTGTTGAATGAGGACGGTGTATGTGAGGGGAGGGATGGTGGGGATAATGGTTCTGATTTGGATATGGATATGAAAGTAGAGGGACCTAATGTGGATTTGGCAATGAAGGGAGTTCAGGATGGTGACGTGTCTGAAGGTGATTTGGTTGTGCACGAGTCTAGAAATACTCCAAAAGATGAAAAAGGGGTTGGTGTTTTGCTTAATGCTGATATGCAACATTCTTCTGATGAAACAATGGGAGATTCTTTGCCGGAAATGTTACGAATGCCACAATCTGGTTTTGTTAGCAAGTCTTGTACTCCTGTCAGTTCAGAGCAGAAATGTGGCATTGGGGGCCAGAATTTGAATGACGGGTTGTGCCCTGACTCCAAAAGTGCCAGCAAAACTGCTGATGGTATTCACAATTCAAACATTCCTGATGGGCCATTAGCTGATCCCTGTTTTTCAGCCAACGTCTGCTATGGAGATAGCCAGCCGCTGTCTTGTGTACGATCTGAAGACATTTGTTCTCCTTCTGATCAAAAGACCGAACTACAAGAAATGATTATCAATGATGGTTTAAAGAAGTGTTCCATCGTATTGCATGACGTTGAAGAAATCACTGACACCATGTCTATCCCTAAAATGGGGGAAAGGGTGTCTCCAATTATTGAGGGTGAGCTCAAGAAAATATTGACCGATGACAAAGTAGAATTGTGTAACATTCCTTCAAAATTCAGTGATGTTGCTTCCAAGGACAAAGAAAAGTTCTCCCCTTGTGACTATGAGCCATTAGCTAAATCATCTGAGAATATGCTGTGTGAAAATATTCATCAGGTTTCTGAAAAAGTATTACAGGGATCCTCAAGACATGGAGTTATGTCATTCTTTGGATGCCAACCGGAATCAGATGTAGGTGTGTATTCTGAAACTAAGTTTGTCTCTGGTAGAAGTTGCGGTGATCAGAGTATCATAGATACACAGGATGAAGGGCAAGATTTTGTTTCAGATGATTTGCTGAAAAAAAATTCTGCTGTTTCCGGTGGTTGTTTGCATCCTATGGTGTCCACTGAAACAAATAAATCTGATTTGGATGTTCAGCCAAATCACCCAGAGATACCTCCAGAAACACACAATATTCCAAAGAACTCCGATGCCTATATTCCTAAATGCAGTTTGGTATTAGATCCGACTCAACCTTCCAAGAATACATTTGAAAATACTTCTCTTGCAAATGGTGATTGTTTCTATGCTAACAGAGACTCTGAAGGTGCCTCCCCTCAGAACACAATTCCAGAAGAGAATGAGAATTCTGCAGAAAATGATGCCTCTGTGTCTGAGGTAGCCAACTTTGATGATAAGACATCAGCTGTTATTCGCCGCAAGACAAAAAAGCGTCGGCATGGAGACATGGCGTATGAAGGGGATGCTGATTGGGAGGGTTTAATAAACGACCAAGCTTTTCTTGAAAGCCAAGGCGTTGTTGATGGGGAGCGCATTCTTAAACCAAGAGGGAAGCTTGAATCTTCTTTGAATGCTATTGAAGAGTCTGAAAGTGATGCAGTAGCCGTATCAGCTGGATTGAAAGCCCATGAAGCTGGACCAGTTGAGAAAATAAGATTTAAGGAAATCTTAAAGCGTAAAGGGGGTCTCCAGGAATATTTAGATTGCAGGTCAGTAGATAAACTTTTAAACAGGTCTTTGCATTTGCTTACAATTGGTCTTTCTTATTGTTCGGAAAAGTTGCGCTGCAATAAAAAGGTTACTTTCAACAGTATCAGTATTTTCGTTTTCATGGTGTCTTGTGCTTCAAATGCTCACAACTGTTTTACATCCTTTTAGAATGTTGATTGAATCTGTTATTTGTTTTGGTTGCTTAAACATGAAATCAAGATATTATACTGTTGAGTCACGTTGAAATTAACAATAATGACAAGTTCTATTATCATTTTTGGTATGCTTTTGTAAGTTTGGAGTAGGTTCAATTTCTCTCAATTTATGGCCTACAATGCAATCTTATGTAAATAGGTAAATGTTATTCTACAGGCCTACAAAACAAATTTATGGCCAATCATTATGGTACAGGCGTAGATGTTCTGAACCAAGTTACTAGTATTTCTTTTTTGGCTTTTGTATTAAATTAGCAATACGACATTAGTAATTACCTCTTTTTAGTGAACATGACATTAGTAATTACCTCTTTTTCAATGAGAAAAACAAATTGTATTTTCCTCTACTCTACTATTTTCAGCTGTGGCAGTGAATCAAATTAGCAATGTACTTATTCCTTTTTCTTCTGTAACTGGATTCTTACTGATTCACTTTTATGATTGGGAAGTTACCAGCTTGTTTTTGTATTAGTGGAAATAAATATGAGGGAAAAAGGATAGGAAGTTAGCAGTTATTCAATGATGCGTGTTTGTTGATTCAAATCCTTTCCACTAAATTTGGCTACTGTGTGTTTCTGAATTTTATATTCTCTGGTGACTCATTGCTGTGGGTGAGAGCAAGGTCCTTCCTCCTATATTTGCCTAGAAATTGAAAGATTTAAGAGTGGTCACTTTTCTTAAATTTTGACTGAATTATTTTAGTCCTTTTTTTGATTGATTTTTAATTGATGATCAATTGTATTTTTTTATAGTATGATTATGAGTTCTTTACCTGTTGCGGTCATTAAATTACAAATAGCATCTATCTTTCTTTCCTTTTTTTTTTTGAAAAAGTTTCTTCAATGCTATCTTTTTACTTTCACATTTTAAGGATGTATTGCTGTGAGGGCTGTCTGTCATGCATAATCTATTCAAGTTCATGGGCTGCTATCATTAATTATTGTTTCTTATTTCTATTCAGAGCTTCGTTACCGTTGCTATTTTATCGCATTACTTGTTGCACAGTATCATCATTGCTATTTTTTTTGCTTGACTAGTTCTTAGTGTTGATTTATTCTTTTATTTGATGGGATTTAATTTTTAGTTTCTTTTTGTTTCTTGCTCTCAATCAAAATTCTTTTAAATAATGAACCTTAAAAGCTTCAAGTGAGTATCTTTAGAAACGACTTAGCTTTGCTGTAAAATACTTATATTTCTTAAGCTAGGATACTCTGGATTCAGCTTCAGGCTTATGTTTATTTTTAACAGAGATTTTTTGCTAAAAAATGGAAATCCTTTTCTTATAAATTATACTTTGTTTTTATTCAAAAAAATAAATTCTTCATCTTTTAATTTATATACTGCAGAAATCAGATCCTAGCTCTTTGGGGCTGTGATATCACACGTATTTTGCTTCTTGCTGACTGTGGGGTTCACGATACTCCTTCTGAGGATGAACCTCCCCGCTCTTCTCTTATTAGGGATATCTACACATTTCTCGATCAATGTGTAAGTCTGTTCCTCATGTTATTGAGCTATGGATTTTCATTTTGTTTGCTTATTTAGATGTATACTTTTCCAGTTTTTTTTGTCATTATTAACATATAATAGCTTTTTTTTTTGGGCAAAAACATACCATGTCAATGTTGATATCACCGGAACTTTGTATCATTTTTTTCCAGGGTTATATAAATGTTGGAATTGCTTCTCTAAAAGACAATGTTGAAAATAGTGCAAGGCATAATTATACACTTGTAGGAGAAAAAGGATATGAAGAAAGTTATACAGCTTCTGTTGCTGACTCTGAAGATGGAGTTTCCTTTATTGTTGGTCAGACTAAAAAATCAGATGCTTCTGTAGAAATTAAGTGCGATCCTATAGTAGGTAATAAAGACCTGGCAACTGAAGCTACAGAAGACAGAAGGAATGTTGATGTGGTGACAATGGATATATCAAGCATGACAAAGCATGATGAGAGAAAGATTGATGATTGCCTGGAAAAAGGTGGGATTCAGGATGGATTCAGTGAAATTATACACGGGAATGTTAACAGTTCTGAGCAAAGCAATGAGTCAACCTGTGTTAAATCTGGCTTGTGTGATCAGATAGGTGATATTCTGAACTCTGATTCAGAGGTTAGAAAGAGAGTGATTGTCATTGGAGCCGGTCCTGCTGGTCTCACTGCTGCTCGCCACTTGCAACGTTTGGGATTTCCTGTAACTGTACTTGAGGCAAGGAGTAGAATAGGGGGTCGAGTATTTACAGACCGCTCATCTCTTTCTGTCCCTGTGGATCTTGGTGCTAGTATAATCACTGGTGTTGAGGCTGATGTGGCTACTGAGAGAAGACCAGATCCTTCTGCGTTGGTTTGTGCTCAGTTGGGTCTTGAGTTGACCGTGCTAAACAGTGACTGTCCTCTATATGACATAGCGATGGGACAAAAAGTTCCAGTAGATATGGATGAAGCACTGGAAGCTGAATTCAATAGTCTTCTTGATGACATGGTGTTGCTTGTTGCCCAGAAGGGTGACCAGGCTATGCGAATGTCCCTTGAAGATGGTTTAGAATATGCCCTCAAGAGGCGCCGTTTAGAACGCTCTCGAAGAAGTAACAAACAAAATAATTACGCATATGGTTCATTTGGTTTGAAAAGAGGCATAATTCATGGCAAAGAAATGGAAGAGGTTTTGAGTCCTCCCGAAAGAAGGGTAATGGATTGGCACTTTGCTAACTTGGAGTATGGATGTGCTGCTCTGCTGAAGGAGGTTTCTCTTCCCTACTGGAATCAAGATGATGTGTATGGAGGATTTGGAGGAGCTCATTGTATGATTAAAGGGGGTTACAGCACTGTTGTCGAATCTTTAGGAGAAGGGCTTGACATCCATTTGAACCATGCTGTAACAAATGTGTCTTATGGAAGCACAGAATCAGGCCCGGGTAATAAAGTCAAAGTTTCTACATCAAATGGCAATGAGTTCTTTGGAGATGCTGTTCTGATTACTGTTCCATTGGGCTGCTTGAAGGCTGAAACTATAAAATTCTCTCCACCTTTACCCCCTTGGAAATATTCTTCCATTGAGCGTCTTGGATTTGGAGTTCTCAATAAAGTGGTCTTGGAATTTCCTAGTGTGTTTTGGGATGATGCTGTTGACTACTTTGGAGCAACAGCTGAAGAGACAAGCAGAAGAGGCCACTGCTTTATGTTCTGGAATGTCAGGAAGACAGTGGGGGCTCCGGTCCTCATAGCATTAGTGGTTGGGAAAGCGGCCATAGATGGTCAGAATTTAAGCTCTTCCGATCACGCCAACCATGCGTTAATGGTTCTTCGCAAACTTTTTGGGGAGGCTTCGGTACCTGATCCCGTTGCTTATGTTGTGACTGATTGGGGTAGGGATCCTTTTAGCTATGGTGCTTACTCTTATGTTGCTATTGGAGCATCAGGAGAACACTATGATATATTAGGGAGGCCAGTTGATAACTGTTTGTTTTTTGCTGGTGAAGCAACCTGCAAAGAGCACCCTGATACAGTTGGTGGTGCAATGATGAGTGGACTCCGAGAGGCTGTGCGCTTAATTGACTTATTTAGCACTGGACATGATTATACGGCAGAGGTGGAGGCAGTGGAGGCTGCACTGAAACAGTCAGATACTGAAAGAGAAGAAGTTAGGGATATTATAAAGAGACTTGATGCAGCAGAACTTTCTAACATATTGTACAAGAAGTCTTTGGACGGTGCTCGCATCTTAAGCCGAGAAACTTTACTAAGGGACTTGTTCTCAAATGCAAAAACCAATGCTGGGCGCTTGCATGTGGCCAAACAGTTGCTACGTCTTCCTGTTGAAAACTTGAAGTCCTTTGCTGGGAGTAAAAGGGGGCTAAGCATTCTTAACTCATGGATACTGGTACTACTGTCTAATTGGATATATTATTTTCGAATTTGTTCAACTTCTATACCTGCCCCCTCTGCCATGATAAAGTAAAACATCTTTATCTTTGGCAAGATAATTTTTTAAATTGTGTTTAACAGTTAATGTTTTAAACAGGACTCAATGGGGAAGGATGGCACCCAACTCTTGCGACACTGTGTGCGTCTTCTTGTGCTTGTTTCGACTGATTTACTTGCTGTGCGCTCATCAGGTATCTATGTTTATTGTTTTGGGGATGTGTTTTGCATGAAAATGTGTATTATGTTTCAAAAAACAATTTTAGTTTGACATCAACTTTGTTGGTGTCTTTCTTATCTAGTGAGTAGTGATATATATATATATATATATATATATATATATATATATATATATATATATATATATATATATATATATATGTGTGTGTGTGTGTGTGTGTGTGTGTGTGTGTGTGTGTGTGTGTGTGTTTGTGTTTCGGTAGATTATTCTGTCCTGATGGGGTAAGGAAGAGTTGGGTAAATTACTCAACGAAGCACTTATTTTGTAAGCGCTTATTATATAAAGTGTTAAGAGTCCCACATCGGACAATATATGGCCTGAACATGTGTTTATAAGTGGAGGCAATCGTCACCCTACAAGCCAGTTTTGTAGGATTGAGTTAGACCCAACCCATATATTCTAAGATGGTATCAGAGCCCGGTTTAAGATCCATTAGACTACCCACCATTTAGTTCCACGCTCCACACGTTCAATCCTGGGCGTGAGAGGGGGTGTTAAGAGTCCCACATCAGACAATATATGGCCTGAACATGTGCTTATAAGTGGAGACAATCGTCACGCTACAAGCCGGTTTTGTAGGGTTGAGTTAGGCCCAACCCACACATTCTAAGATAAAGGCTTATGTATAAACTATTTATATAATCGAAGAGGAAATGAGGATTAAGGATCCTAGAGTGGGAAACTTATAAAAATAAGTTGAAAACACCTTATGGGTATTTTAGAAAATAGTGTTTAAGACATTCTAAATACTTCATAATTACTATCTATCATAAGATAATTCCAAATGAGCTCTTATGCGAAAGAGTTTTTTATGAGACACATGTGTTAATTAAAATGAGTGTTTTAATCTGAACCATCTATTTTGATCTAAAGGTTAATAGTTGTTCGTCACTCTCACATAAGAAGCCCCTTTCTCACTAGATATACCCCTCTTCCAAATGGCTTGTTAATATGTTATCCACAGTTTCCTCACTTTTTTTGCTTTAACTTTCCAATTATTGGTGTAGGCATTGGAAAAACAGTGAAGGAAAAAGTTTGTGTACATACTAGCCGTGATATTCGTGCTATAGCAAGCCAGTTGGTTAGCGTATGGCTTGAAGTCTTCCGCAAGGAAAAGGCATCTAGTGGAGGACGAAAGCTGTCAAGACAGGCAAATACTGTAGATATATCAAAGAGAAAATCAATTAACGATCCAGCATCAGGCAAACCACCTCTGACTATCCATCATAATACTTTTGAGGATAAAGGAAGCATATTAACTCCTGCAATCAATTCAGCTTCCATTGCACATATGAAGAAATCACATGGCAAGCAAGGGAATCAGCAAGCGGCAAATGATTTAAGGCGTGATGTCAGTTCTTCCAAGTCCCAAGGTTCGACAGGAAAAATAGACACTGAGATGAAGGATACCCACTGTGCTATGTCTGAGGAAAAAAAGGCTGCTATTGCTGCTGCAGAAGCTGCTCGTGCCAAAGCACTTGCTGCGGCTAAGGTTTGTTTCTCTGAAGCTTTAGTTCTAATCTAATAATCTGTTTGTATGTTTATTGCTCTTCTTTAAATCAATTAATACTTCAATAAACATGTGCTAAAATACCGGGTGCATGTTAGAAACTGGTACCAAATTACAATTTAGTTGTTGAAATTTACTTTTATTGATGGTAGAATATGTTTACAGCAGAAACAGATTTGCACACTATAGAGAACACACAATTCACACATACATTGTTGTATTGATATTTGTCAGTTTTTTAGATTTTGTCAAAAAAAAAAAAAGATCAGATTTGTGTATTATATCAAATAGTACTAGTATCCAAGCATTATAATACTCAATCAACTGATTATGAATCCAAAGATCATTAACTGTCTCTTGACAGGTTGTATATTTCCCCAAAAGATTCAGTAGTTTTTGTTCATTGCAGGCATATACTTCTGCTGAAGTTAGGAGCAATACACAACTCATGCTTCCGAAGATACCCTCATTCCACAAATTTAAGAGTCGGGAGCAATATTCACAAAATGGTGACAGTGATATTAGGAAAAAACGGTCTGGTGGTATCTTGTTGGGAAAGCAAGATTGTATTTCAGAGATTGATTCTAGAAATTGCAGAGTTAGGGACTGGTCTGTTGATTTCTCTGCTGCTTGTGTTAACCTTGATAATTCCAGAATGTCAGCTGATAACCTGTCACAGCGAAGTCATTCAAATGAGATTGCAAGCCATTTGAATTTCAGAGAGCACTCGGGAGAAAGTGTTGCAGTGAACAGCAGTTTATACACCAAAGCTTGGATTGACTCAGCCGACGGTGAGGGAGTAAAAGATTACCAGGCCATCGAGAGATGGCAATCTCAAGCAGCGGCAGCTGGTTCTGATTTCTCCAATCCTGCCATACATTTGAAACATGAAGAGGATTCAAATGCCTGTTCAAGGTTACCCAATTGGAAGCATGACGGAGTGGCAAATGACAGCTCTATTTCACAGGTTACTGTGAATAAGGAGAATTCAAAAAGTCATTCTCATAATTCAAAAAGTCATTCTCATAATTCAAAAAGTCATTCTCGAGGAGCAGATCGTATCAAACAGGCGGTCGCGGATTATGTTGCATCTTTACTTATGCCTCTTTATAAGGCAAAGAAACTAGATAGGGATGCGTACAAGGCTATAATGAAGAAAAGTACTGCCAAGGTGATTTTTTCCCGTCAATTCTTTACTTCTCCTTTCTAGAGTATACCTTTGTCAACACGTTATTCCATTTCTTATGTTACTGGGATTAATTTTCAGGTCATGGAGCAATCCACCGATGCGGATAAAGCCATGTCTGTTCAAGAGTTTCTAGATTTCAAGCGGAAGAATAAGGTACTTTGGCATTAATACTGTAAATTTGTGCAATAATCCTAATTTGGCATGATTATCTGCTTGCTTTTAACCATTAATTCTTTCCACTGTCGCTGAGTTTGGGCTGGATGCTTAACACATGCAGATTCGACCTTTTGTGGACAAATTGATCGAGAGACACATGGAAATGAAACCAGATGTGAAATCTTGAAGTTCTTGCATTTCAGTTGAAGGGTTTCAGAATCTGTTTCTTTTTACGGTCTCAGCTCTCAGTTTTAGTGGCCACATGCTTACTCTCATTTGAGCACTTCAATCTTCCAATGTATATGCTACAGAAGGTTTTATTAGAGAAACCGATAGTCTATTTTGTTCAGCTCAAATGAAGTGAAATGCAACTTTCTTTCGGCACTCTTGCAGCTCAACAGAATACCAGAGTACTCCACAAACATTTAAAATCAAAGCTCAATGCAAATACTAGTTGAATCTTTTGGATGCCAAGCTTTTGGAACTTTGTATATGGCAATATAGACTCCATTAATCCCATCTTTTCATCTTCACCTTTTGTCAAGACTGTGTCCCTGAAGGTTGAAAACTTAATACCCCATTTTTATTGAAGGGTTTTGTTTTTCATGGACAAAGACATGACTTAACCTTATGAAATTCCTTCTATTTGTACAGCTTAGGATTGTTTTAGTGCTGACAAGTATACATATCCATTTCACTGTGGCATGTTAGAACAAAATATTGTTCAGATTTTGTGTCAAATGAATTACTAACTTTATTTCATTCTCCAGAATGGGGAAAAAGCTATGCTAGCTCACCATATTGTATTTTTTGCATAGTTCCGTTATATTGTTGTATGTTTTTATGTTGTATGTCAAATGTGCTACGAAAATTCTAGAATAGTAGAATTGCGTCATCAACAGAGAGCCATGAACTAATTTCAATTACTTTTTAAAGGTTTGCAGCATGAGATGGTCTATGCGCCTTTTGAATCGCACTGTGTATAATTTAACATTCTCTTTGTGATTATGCTTATGTCGTTTTCTGTTTGTTGGTAGACAGAGAAAGATCATGTCAATCAGAGATGGGAGGGATGTAATAGAGGAATTCTCTCCTTTAGTCCTTTACATGTGATTTGATATTTATTGCAGCTTTTACCTTCACAACTAATTTTCAGGTCCTCCTGCTTTTGTTTATTTTGCAGACTGTGTTCAGTACCAATCAAATGTGATCTTGGACTGAAAAAATGGTGCTACCTGGGAAATTCAATTCCACTGGTAACTTTATGGGGTGAGTATGTTCTTGTCCTCAATAGCAATTATTTTTACCCAAGCATTGTGTATTTTTGGTTTAGCTCTTTGAAAGCGAAAAACAATTTTGGAGACGAGGAATTGATTTTGAAAGTGTTTGGTTTTTTTTAAAAGAGCATTAATTCTGCTTTCAAAATTGATTCTATTTCTTTTTTCACAAAAAATTGATTCTATTTAAAACTAAAATTTGTAATTTTGGACGTCTCAATTCACATTTACATAAATTTATTCGAATTTAAATCACTTTACCTAAAATAATTTTATAGAATCAATTCATTAATTTTTTTTTTTACGGAAGAATCAAATACACACAAAGCATAGCTAAGGATTTTTCCTAAAGCTGCTGAACGGTTCCATAAATTGTTGTTTTTATAATTGGAATAAACTTATTGGTTGCATGTTGCTAGAAAATTCTTAATGATAGTTGTCCAAATCAAAATTTTATTTATCCGTCTCAAACTATGTTTTTCCCACGAATTAAGAAATTAAATTATTATTTTATAAAAAAGATAAATTATGTATAATTTTATAATAATGTCTCTAATTATTATATATGATGGAGAAATTAAAAGAGTTGAAAGAAGAAATAATAATAAATATTCAAAAATATTTAAAAAAATTATAAATATTCGCATTAATTTGTAAAATAACTTATAATTTAAGACACATTTTTTACAAAGCTTCTTATAATTTGGGAGAGGGAGTATGGCAAATTTCTTAATTCGAGTGTAGCTATTTCGATGAGGATAAAGCTTAAATATTTTTTAGATGTGATTTTTACTATTTTCTAATGAAAATATAACAAATGTACGGTATGATTTTCTCTTACACATATGTAATTTTCTCTTATGTTTTATTTTTTAAATTTAAGTATTGTATTTTCATAAAAAAATAATAAAAATTACACCTAAAAATTTGAATATAAGTTTTTTTCTTTTTAAGAACATTTTAACACATGTTCTAACTAAATATATAAATATTTCTCAAAATTGTGTACACAATTCTTTAACTATTTGTAAATTATTTAATATAATATAGATATTTTATTTGTGGAATTTCTAATATGTGCATTTAGGACAAAAATGAGCACAATCTTTATTTTTCAAGTAAAAATATTTATCCTATTTCAGAGTGGTAAAATGAGTTGTTCGTCCCACTTTATTCTGTCTTAAGTCCGTCAAAAAAAGAGCAGGACGAACAAATCCGCCAAAAAGAAATGAGCACAAAAATTTAATTCGTTCTGCCAAGATAGCGGGTTGGCGGACGGTGGATTTATCCGCTTACTTATTTATTCGTTTACTTTTTCATTTTTAATAGATTAATAGGTTTTTTTTTACATTTCAATTAGATTTTTTATTTATTTTTTAGAACAATTGTTTATAAGTATTTTTTTTAACAAATTTAACTTTAAAAAATATTACATATATTTATAAATAAATATATAAAATAAAACCATTAAGTATAAAAATGACTAGAATTAACTAAAAAAAAAAGTTTTTATATTTATTATGATTTTTCCACTTTTTTTTTTTATTTTTATAAAAAGTGCATAAAATCAAATAAATAATTATTTTTTAAAAATACATTATAAAAAACGAAAATTGAAATTAGAATAATAAAAAAAAATACAATTTTGTGATTTTGAAAATAATTAAAAATGAAAATAAAGTTAGTAACAAATAAACAGAAAAAAATATTAGAAAGTTGAAAAGTGCCCTAGCGGAGCGGCGATTCTGAGGATGGGCAAGCGTGGAAGACCACCGCGGAAACAGGTGGTTCAAATGCCTCCGGTGAGTGTCAGAGTGTTCTCGCTAGCTTCACAATCTCATGGAAATGGTACTACCGCTACTTTCGATTCAACGATGTGCAACAGAAAAGCTTCAGTAGAGCTTGTGCTAAGTTCGATTCCTGAGGAAGAAATAGAGGAGCACGATGCAGAACAATTAGCTCAAGCTCAACCCTGGGTTGACATAATAAGAGGTAATCGTTCTTCGTCAAACAGTCTGAATATTATGTATACGCCTCCTTCCATTGTTAACGGAGAAATTGAATACGTTATTGAAGAACAAGATATCACATCAGAGGTTAAGTTCTAGGAGAATGCTCTGATCATGTATGTGATAGGGAGTGAACTGACAATGACAGCAGTTAAGAAGTTTATGATGAAGACATGGGATTTTGCAGCCCTACCGGATCTATTCTACAATGAGGAAGGGTATTTTATTATCAAGATGAAATCAAAAGAGGATAAGGAGCTTGTGTTGAGAAAGGGCCCATACACCATATTCAGACAACCTATGTTCCTTCTGGAGTGGAGACCTCTATTCTCACTTGACAAAGACGCGGTGCGAGTAATGCCTATTTGGGTCATGTTTCCCCAACTGCCACTGAGTTATTGGGGAGAGAAAAGCATTGGGAAAGTTGCTAGCGCTATTGGGAAACATGTTATGACAAATGATTGTACTTCTAAGAAATTAAGAATTACATATGCTAGAGTTCTCATTGAGGTGGATATTACAAAGGAGCTAATGGATTCTATAAAAATCAGGGATCCACAAGGAAGTATAATTGTGCAGAAGGTGGAGTATGAATGGAAACCAACTTTTTGCAAGAAATGTGACAAGATGGGGCATAACTATGATAAGCAGAGAGTTGCAAAACCTGTTCAGAAGTGGATTGAGAAATCCACGGTTATAGAAGAGGAAAACAACAGAGGTGATAGCAAAGGAAAGCAGATAGATGACAATTCAGGATCCTTAGAAACTAATGAAGACATGGCTGATATGGATTGGAGAATTGTGGCTCCTACTAAATCTTCTGGAAGATCTAGAAATGGAGCTAATGGAAAAGTTGTATGTAACGCAGCGGGAGAACTGACTTGGGTGTTTTGTGTTTGATCGCAATTGTTGCGGTTAGCAAGAGTCGCCACCGACTTTTCTTTTATCCAATAAGGAAAGGTTGAAAAGAACAGGAAAGACCTTTCGAGATTATTTCTTGAGTTCGGGGGGTAGGTTATGAAAAGGGAAGGTGTTAGCGTCCTTTTCATCCGTAGTTATCTATGGGCTCTTAGTTGCTTGCTAGATCATTTGATTTTTGTTTGAGAGTGTGTTTGTGATGTGGGTTTTGAAAGTATTTTGAAAAAGAATGTCTTTGTAATGCTTCTCGTCTCTATAAGAACGCGTACAAAGTGTTTTGTCTTTTGAAAAATGTTTCAAAGTGAAGTGTTGGTGTATAAAATGTTTTTGTTGTGAGCAAGCGAGCAACTAGGAGTAACCTACCTACTCAAAAGGTCTTAAATGTTCTTTTCCTCCTTCTTTAGATATTGCTATCTTACCACTGATTTGGTAAGAATCCACATCATTGGATGTGAACGGACGGGCACAAGACGTTTTTGTATAGTCATAGAAGGCAACCTATGGGACGTTTTAGCAATATCATTTAGGGACTAGATCGTTTACCGAAGGCAACATTGAGGGTCATCGAGGGACTACGATCTTTTATCGAGGGTCTTTGCTAAAATGCCCATATTCGAGGGGCATGACTATTTTCCGAAAGGCAACAAAGTGAGATCACTCTAGAGGTGCTAGTGTGAACGGTGTTTGATTTATATGCATTTTGTCTTGATTAGGGTTATCTATTTGTTGATTTCATGTCCTGCCATACACACCCCAATTACTAGCATTTATATTTGAAAGCGATAAATTATGGAAAATATAAAGTCCTACGCTATTACATCATTTAAGGATGGGGGTACAAATTTACAAATGGGAGTTTGCAAGAATTTTAAATCCTAATTATCTATTACAACCATATTGAATTGTACAATATAAAAAAAGGAAAGGATTTGTTTTTGAAAATGGTTTTTTGTCTTAACAAATTAAAGGGAAAATGACTAGTT